GGCTGTCCTCACAAGGGCAATAGTTTCCCCTGGCCAGGACTTAAAGACATGAAGCCCCACTGGTGGCTGCAGCAACAGCCTTCCCTCCTCCCTGGGACATGTCACCTGCTATTAGCACCTGCCTGGGCTTCCCCTGCACCCCTCCTCTGGTGACACACTGCCCAGGAGATCCCTGTGCCCACAGAAATCTGCTGCTCCTCTCCATTTAGCCTGAACTTTCTCCAGCAGTCATGCACCGTGCAATGGCTTTCCTCACCTGACCCATTCCCTTGCTGCAAGCAGTGGGCACCAACCCCATAGCTTTTCCATCGTTCATGCAGCAGGTTGCAAAACCTAACCACACTGCCCCACAGCCCCGGTAGGCATAGTCCCAAGCTCCATTCCTGACCTTGCCTGCTGCACTGGGCTCCCCCAGCTCACCTTTCTGAGAGTCATGCTTCTCTGCCTGGTTCTTGTAGTCGAATCCCACTGCCGCTTTGTCCACCTTGTCCCTCTCCACACCGTAACGGCCACCAAAGCCCTTGGAGTAATCTGAGGTGGTCCACAGAGTGAAATGCTGCCCCAAGCATGGGGCTGGTGAGGGGAGGAGGTAAAGATGGGAAGCAGCACTGGGGACGAGCACCAGGCAGGAGGAAAAGCAGCAGAGACAATGGAAAACACTAGAAAAAGCAAGGGGTTTGGAGGGGACAGAATGGATGGCAGGGAGCACCATGAGGGCCATTGAGGACAAGGGCCCATGGAAATGGGTGCACCGGGCAAGCATGGGTCATGGCAGCAAGAAAGCCTGAGGACCATGGGCAGCAGAAGACATAGCAGGCCAAGAGGGCAAGGAAGAAAAGCAGCATGCCAAGGGCAGCTGGGCAGGCAATGGGAGCTCAGCCACCCAACGACACAAAGCCAAGGCAAGTCTTGGGCACTGACAGCCTGGGCATCCACCTGCTCACGCATCTCCAGAGCAAGGATTTCAACCTGTGGGCTGCCAGTCTCTGAAAAGGTCTGTGAGTAAGTACACTGAGCCCTTGAAAGTACAGAAGAAATGGCAAATTTTGCTATATGGCTTACAATTGCTGTAATGGAATCTCACCTTCTACAAAGAAACCACTGACTCTGGATGCTGCAGCAAAAGCTGAAACCCACATTTCTGGAGACATGCTCCAGCTCTCCCCCCAAAACTGTCTCTGGCACGCTCAGCCATTATCTGATAAAGGCACAGCATGTCTTCCTTATGCCTCCCTTTTTCCATCTTCTAAATTAGTAACGTATTAACTACTTCAACTGTGTTCAATTATTCTCTAAAGACTAGTTATTATCGCCTGATGTGCTAAGCAATGTCAGCCTCAATCCTAGCTGCTGGCTATTTAGAGACACTTTGCTTTCAGAGGCCTGGTCTGCTAGCTCTGTCTCCAAATCCCATCCTTCAGAAGGAGTAAATCAAAGTTACCTCTCTCTGTTCCCTGACACTATTCTTACAGGTCTGTATTTCACAGGAATGAGTTGGGGCTTCTCAGCAAATTCAGCCTTATCAATCCATGAAGACTGTGACCTAGAGAAATAAGCATGAAAAAGGCTGGATGTCCAAGTGGAGACTAGTGACAAGTGGCATTCTTCAGGGGTTGGTATTGGGACCAGTGCTGTTTAACATCTTCGTTGGTGACATGGACAGTGGAATTGAGGGCACTTTCAGCCAGTTTGCCGATGACACCAAGCTGTGTGGTGCAGTCGACACGCTGGAGGGAGGGAGGCCATCCAGAGGGACCTGGACAGGCTGGAGAGGCGAGCCCAGGCCAACCTCATGAAGCTCAACAAGGTCAAGTGCAAGGTCCTGCACCTGGGTCTGGAGCAGTTGCTCAGAAGGACTTTTAGAGGAAAGGGAGCATCAGCCATCCATTGCGGGTGCATATGGGCGCGTTTTCTCCTCTCAGCCATGACGTGGTTTCCATCAAAGCAAAACACAGAGAGAAGCAGAATGTATAACAGAAGGGTGGTGACAGGACAGCTGGGAATGGGGCTGAACAGTGACTGATTGCGAACAGGAATCTGAAACCAGTGACAGGAGTGGGATGACAAAGGAGACTGTGCCACAGCAGGCAGTAAAGGATATTGGGAGCAGAAGCGAAGCTAGGCAGGCAGTGTTACAGGGCTACATGTGTTCATGGACTTGCCTTTCTGGGATGAGTGTTTCTCCACCTCACCCTTGTATTCAAAGCCCAGTGCTGACTGGAACAATAAGGGGAGGAATGTCAGTCGTCCTGAGGGCCAAGCTGGGTCTCACCCACCCTCCTCCAGGGGCTGGGCTGGGACCCTGCTCCCCATCTCGTGCTGCAACATGCAGGCACCCGGCCACTTCTGGGCTGGTACAGGCCTTCTGCGCCCCTAACACCACCCCTGCTGTCCACGTGGCAGTGTGCCCAGGAACAGGCCCAGGCACTCTACTTAAGAGGGCCACAATCCTGACTGCACACCCTGTCAGTAGGCAAGGTGGCGGGACAGTGTCTGACACCAGGATGTGAATGGCAGGGACGGCATCCTGCTGTCCCAGCCCAGTCCTGCCATGGCCAGTCACTGTGCATGGCACAGCTTGGGGGTCTGGAGATGCAAACCACCACAGCCCCCACAACAAACACTGGGGGATAGGACAGTGCCTGTCCTGGACAGGACAGTGCAAGCACGTTAACGCATACCAGAGCGTTAACCTTCACAAGCGCCCTGCAATTTGTCATCAGTCACTGTCCTGTGCACAGGAGGTGGAGTGGAGACCTGGCGCACAGCATGCCTAGCCCTGCACCCATCGGCACTCTGAAAACTGCAGCCACGATCCTACCTGTAGCACAGTGGTTTAGAGGCAGCATTGAGCACAGGCCACGGGTGCCTGTTTCAGCTGCCCTGTCCAACACACCTTGTCAGCTCGGTCCCGCTGGACTCCGTACTTCCCCCCAAAGCCCTGGGTTGCATCCGTCTGCGAGGAGTGCTTCCCAACGTCAGCAACGTACTCGTGGCCCACTGCACACTGAGAAGAGCGACAGCATGACATAAGCACCCACAGTCAGACTGACAGGGTGGACAGAGACATAGGCACCACACAGTTGCTCTGCCCCACTGCCTGGATGCTTGCAGCCATGAGGTGACAGGTCCAACCTGACCGTGCTGGTGGTGGCGATGCCTTCTGCACAGCCTTTGCCAGGACCAGCCCTGCTCTGAGACCTGCAGCTCCCACGGCAGC